ATTCAATGCATTTCTTTTCTTCAGTGCTCATTTTAAATTTCAAGCTCATTGCTTACTTAACAGTGGAAATACAAGGAGAAAAATGTAAGACGACTCAGTTGGGCTCTGTGCTTGTGCAAGTGTGTGTGTGTGTGTTTGTGTGAGAGAGTTTGTGTGGTTTAACCTTTGATTTTCTTTGTGGTGAAGCTTGCAGCAAGCATTTTGAGAGTAAGTAGTCTTTCAAGCTGTATCTTGATTTCCGAGATGCATGCAAAACTGTGCAAATCTTCAAGCCAGCATGTTTCAAAGGAAAAGAAAGCTTTTTACCAGCCAGGGTTATGCCCCCCTCCACCCCACCGCTTTATTGACCCAGTTTCAGGTGTGTGTGTGTGTGTGTGTGTGAGCTACTCATTTAAAGCCACTGAAAAGTGAAGCTGCCGCAGTTTATACCACTTTTATCCCTCTTATAGAATGACACATATCTTTTTGAAATATTCACATATGATATGATACAGTTGTTCAAAGAGTTTGTAATGCAAAAGTGTACTGAATGTACTTGATTTAAATATGTACCTCATTTCTACATAAATAAAAAAATTACACCAAACAATGCAGCTATTGCCAAAAGTGAGATTGTGTTGATGTAATATGTTTTATTAATGAGGAAGCTATGCACACATTTGAATCAGGTATATTCAATATAGCAATCCGTTAAAATGCATCACTGGTCATACATCAATCTGTATAAATTGAAAATTTGGGCACTACTTGGGTTAAGAAATTGTGGATCTATGAATGAAATCTTCTATGCGTATACACCTCTACATATGTTCTCTATATATACACCTAACAGATAGCAGTGATCTGTAAATCTACTTTAATCTGTATTTGAATGAAAATAGTATAAAGACAAGACAATTAAACTTTTCAACTTCATTGTTTTCTTGTAAACATGCACTAATTTTGAAACTGATGCCTGTAATATGCTACAAAAAAAGCTGAGACAGAGGCAATTTAAGACTAGAAACATTGTGAAATGTTAAAAAAAAGCAGGTGGTGCAATCATGCTTGGGTTTAAAAGGAGCATTTAGGAAAGGTCTAGTCCTTTATGAGGAAGGGCCAGTCGAAAACAAAATGCAGCAGCAAATAATCCAACAGTTTGAGAGAAATGTTCCTCAACAATTGATTGCAGGAATTTTAGGTATGCCATCCTCTACAGTGCATAATAACATCAAAATATTCAGGGTATCCGGAGAGCTTTCTGTACGTAAAGGACAAGGCCTAAAAACACAACTGAATGCTTGTGACCTTCAATCCTTCAGATGCCACTGTATTAAAAACTGGCATACTTCTGTGATATCACACAGTCTCAGGAATACTCTGACAAACCGTGGTTAATAAACACTGTTTGTTGCTGCATAAACAAATACAAATTGATACAAACCTGTTTCCAAAAAAAGTTAGGATGCTGTGCACAATGTAAATAAAAACAGAGCACAATGATGCCTGCACCGTCTTTCACAGTGTGGTAAACCCCTTATCATCTAGAAAATGTCTCAGATTAGCCTCTTTGAGATGCTTTTTTCATACCAATTCATGTTACTGACCTGTTGCCAATTAACCACCAGGTGTTTTTTAGCATTACACAACTTTACCAGTCATTTGTTGCCTCTGTCCTTTTTTGGGACATGTTGCTGCCATCAACTTCAAAATGGATATATATATTTTTAAAAACAATACAATTTCTCAATTTCAACAGTTGATATGTTGTCTTTGTGCTATTTTCAATTAAATATAAAGTTTACAAGATTTGCATATCACTGCACTTTTTATTTTTTATTTACATTTTGCAGTGTCCCAGATTTCTTGGAAAGGGGGCTGTACTATGCATAGTGAAAGCCATATGTCAACAGTGTTCAGACACTGCTAACGTCTTTGAGCTTGAGTTCAACTGAAATTAACTGATGCACAGTGGAAACGTGTATTGTGGTCTGACGAGTCAATCTTTCAACCTTTGTTCATGGAAACAATACACATCATGTTCACTGGGCCAAAGAGGAAAAGGACCCTCCAGATTGTTATCAGCGCTAAGTTCAAAAGCCAGTGCCTATCATGGTATAGGGGTGTTAAGTATGGCATGGGTGACTTGCTCATCTGTAAAGGTACCATTAATGCAGAAAGATATATGGACCATTCTACCAAATTAGTTCAAACTGCAGCCCCACAGTAAAACTATTTAAAAACAAAATAAGTATTCAGACCTTAGATACGTACAAGGATTTTGTTTTGATCTATTTAAACCTAAAGCATTTATTCGAGAAACTCATAGCTAAACATACACAGACTCACGATGGGTACTTTCTATTGGGAGGTGGCTGTCCTAAACCCTAACACCCAAATTTGCACCTTTTCTTTTTATGTTGAAAGACTTAGGTCTCCAGTTAATATGTAGAACATATTTCTTTTTGTGTTTTAGTGAAAAATATGATTTTATGTGTGAACAGCTCTTCAAAGGTGAGTTTGCTAGTCATGTACTGGCTAGCATTTTTAAGTTCTGCTTAAAATGAGCTAAAATTGTCTCTACTGAAACAGTCACTACTGAAACATTTGGTAAAGTTTTGGTGGTGACATGATTGTTTGAGAGTGACAAAATGAAATGTTTGATTATTTGTTGACTCAAAGCAAAGGGATTTTAGTCTAAAGTCCATATCAGTTAAAAGTCTGAAATGGGTTTTGAACTCCAACTTTGGAAAAACAATTAATGTACACATTTTGGAGCAACATAAGCTGCCTTCTAGATGATGTCATTTTCAAGGACATCCATGCTTATTTCAACATGACAATGCAAAGCCACATTCTGCACGTGTTACATTAGCATGACTGTGTGTGCCTGCAGTCCAACCTGTCTGGCATTGAAAACATGTGGTGCATTATCCATCCATCCATCATCTAAACCGCTTATCCTTCTGGGTCACGGTGGGGTGCTGGAGCCTATCCCAGCTGTCATTGGGCGGAAGGCAGGATACACCCTGGACAGGTCACCAGTCCATCACAGGGCAGACAGACAGACATACACATTCACACACACAGTCACACCTAGGGGCAATTCAGCATGTCCAATCAGCCTGACTGCATGTTTTTGGACTGTGGGAGGAAACCGGAGTACCCGGAGGAAACCCACGCAGACACGGGGAGAACAGGCAAACTCCACACAGAAATGACCCTGGTCACCCGGCCGGGAATCAAACCCAGGCCCTTCTTGCTGTGAGGCAACAGCGCTACCCACTGCGCCACCGTGCCACCTGTGGTGCATTATGAAGCACAAAATACAACAATGAAGGCCCCGTATAGTTGTGCAGCTGAAGACAGGATGCACATACACACAAAAAGTGAGAAAGAGAGAGAGAGAGAGAGAGAGAGATGATGAATACCTGGGTGAAACTCCAACCTTCACATAAATCTGCAGTATATGACTGTCAAAAAAGCCAAATGGAAAAAAATATCTTCCACACGTGGATGCTTGTGGCTGTACAGTCATGTTTTGAAATATTTGTGGTTTCAGTCCTGCCCTTTATAACTTTAGCAATTTTCACAGTTTTGTCCAATTTTGACCCTGAGTGAAACCTTCTCTCTCTATGTATTATGTGTTCAGAACAACCTTCCAATAAAAGTCATCACGTTCCTTCCATGTGCTCCTCCACTTTCTTTGCGAAGCTGTTATACATTTCTCACCACTTCTCTAAATTTATGTGGGCGCCTCTACCATCAAAAAGCTGCCTCGATTACAGTCAGGCACGCAGCTGGGCATGCCGAGCGCCGCATACCTTTGAAAACATGTTGCCTGGCAACAGTATGAGGTGGCAGTTGAACAAATTTTTGCAGCACGACTCAATAGAAAAAAATTAATGGTCACCTAAGTACTGCTTCAAGGAAAAGCACCAATAGGACCAATCTGTTCAGTCTCCAGAGCAAAATCAACGTTGACTCATCACTATGACTCATGAGGCTCCAAAGCAAAGACATAAATACCTTCAGGCTATATTTCCATTGATGTATGAAGACCATTCATTTTTGAGTTTATTTGATTGCGAGAAGGAATAGTTTATTATACCCTGTTGCATTACTCTTACGATTCAGATGCATTAGAATAAAATGATAACCTGAAAAAAGTGGTGCATTGAAATGACCTGTTGTGAACGTGTACATCATTTCCACATAAATAAAGTATAACATCAACACAAATACTAACAAAAGTAAGCAAGCTGAATTAAATATTCATACAATGGTGTCATGTTTAAAATATGACTCGTGGAAATGGTGTTCACATCTGAATCAAGTTCAAATTCAACACTTTTTTCACCGGATGAGGGAAATATTTTAGAAAGCATATTCTCATGAATGTGTTTATACAGTACATTTTTGTCATATGGAAATATATTTGGTTGTAGTCTCATATTTATGTAGCTCACGCACATGGTTGGGAAAGTTCCTTCCTTCCAAAATTCCATTACAGACCTGATAACCTCACATTTCACCCCTGCTTTGTCAAGACTTCTTTTTTGTATGTTTTTTCCCCAACACCATTTCAGAATGCCAGCTGCCCTTTACACTGTGTGAATGCCTCATGGTGAATAGAACTATAGAAGTGCTCCAACATAACTTAGAAAATGATCTCATTAAATTAATGTACTTTAAAGCGAAATACTTTGTTACGGCAGTGATATGTTGCTGTTCTTTTACATTGACAATAAAGTTCAGTTGAATTAACCTGAAAGGTTGTAGTGTGATAAAAACACTTATGTTGTGATCAGTAAGTGAGAAAACAGTACTAACATTAACTGTCAACACCTTAAATGTGTTCATCACTGAGTACAAAATTTGCCACATTTATTGTTCTACCTTGAGCATCATGTGTTGTAAAAAGTAAAGAAATATATATAAATATGCATATATATATATATATATATATATATATATATATATATATATATATATATATATATATATACACATAAGATTTAAGATTTTCTCATAGGTACTCATAGGTGATATGAAAGAATTGCCAGAAAAATGAGTGATCCCACTTCATATTGTGTCTCTAATAACTGTGTAGTTGCATGTTGACAATACATGCAATTACAATGTAACTACTAGTGATGTACTAACTGTTACAGATGTACAGATTTATGTAAATACACATGCGTATCAATTTCAATGTTTACTCATGTAATTACACAAGTGTATCTGACAGTTGAAACAGTATATTTTCTCTTGTGTAATTACACATTTGTAACAGTCACATTACTGTAACATTCCAGAATGGTTTAAAGTCAGAACTTTGCTTAGGCATACTAATACTACTACACCAGCATAAAATAAAAATAAAAATAAAAATATAATAAGTTATAAAAAACTAATAAGTTACAAGTACATAAGCTGAATTATTATCATTCATCTGTAACAATGAATACATCAATAGTAGCAATATAGCTGATGCATGTATTGTTACAGTTATTAGAGACACTTAATATGAAGTTGAACCAAACGAGTAAGTTCTATATTTTTATTACTGATTATTTTTTTCATTTTAAAACCCAAATTCCAAAATCATATTACATTATTTGTTACTATCCAACCCTGCTTATGTACCACTCAACATAACTGTGGTATGTACACTTGCTTGTTTATTCCCCATTCAAATGCTTCAGTCAATGTGAGTCAGAAATCATAATGCATTTTCCTTCAATACCATGACATAGTTCTGAGTAAAACGCAGTATCAGGAAGGTTTCTGAGCTAGCTGGGCATTTTCTCTATATGATAGATGGAGGAGGTGGGAGGGGGAGGTGAGATATGATATTATAGGTTAACATTATTTTTCCCCAATCACTGGCGCATAGTGATGTGATCAAAACTCAGTTTCAGAGGCGGATAAAGTCGTAAGTCATGTCTTTTAAATGATATAAAATGATGACTTGTGCTTAATATGACCAGGCACATTTTCCAACAAGGTAAAAAATGGTTTGGTTTTTTATGTTGACTTTTGAAAGCAATAAGACTCCATAAAAACTTTGCTGACATTCTGGAAATCCCTTCATTTCTTTATGGGCGATGGGTGAAGTACAAGTCCATCCCACTCGTTTATGGGACTGTTTGAGAACTATTCTGATAAACTGAGAAACTCTTTCGTTTTTTTGGGTGATGTGTGAACTACAGCACTGTTCCACTCATTTGTGGGTTGTATTAAAACTAGATTTTACTATCAGTTAATAAATTCTATATACAGCCTATTTACAATAATCTCAAGTCAAGGGAAGTGTTGGTCATACAGCAAAGAAGTAGAAAATGAATCATCATGAATGTCCAGATTTTGCATAGATTAAAGGAACATTTACATAGTGTCCAGGTTTACAAGCTGTTGGAAATAAAGATTGCTGTACGAATAAATTTCCTGCCAATTTATAAACAAATGAAATAGCATGTGAGCACCTAGATTCTGGAAGAAATGTTTGTCAGGCCAAAATAAATATTTCAAATATATTATTTCACTTTATACACTGATTCTCCAAATCTAATTATCTTTTATAAATATAATAATTTGGTCTCTGAATAACAGAATAGTCACATACAGGCATCTTTACAGCTGAACACAGTAGTAGAGTTTCTTTTTTTTTTTTTCAAAAGGCTTCAATAATCACAGATAAAACAGAGACATATTTTTCCTTCCAATGTCTTTGTTTTTTTTTCTATATATTTTCTTCCAAAGGCCTGCTTCAGGAACCTCAAGCATAATGAAGATATTGCGAGGGGGATGAAGATTCTTCTCTGACTCCATATGTTTCTCAACAGAACAAAAAAATGCAGTCCTCCCCTCAAGTTTTGTATCCATAGGTAAGATCCCTCCATTGTGTATGTCAAATTATCACAGAAGTAAAGGTCCTCCTGTCTTGTTCTGCAAACGGCGTCTTTTCAGTTTTCCGCCACAAAGCCAATAGGCATGTGTTATTATCCTGAAGGACTGAAGCTCCATATCAAGACCCTGAGGAGTATATATTCACTTTTCTTTTCTTCCACTGAGAGAAAGGCCTCTGACAGAGCTAGCCCAGTTAGCCTGGTTAGCAGCGTTAGCTTAATTGGCGTACTGGGAGTAAAAGGCCACTTTGACGCGCTCGATCTGGTGGCAGAGTTTGATGGCTGGACCCAGCTTCAGATCCATACACTCCTGGACGGTGGGAAGGGTCAACAGCAACAGAGCTTGACCATCAATGTCCTATATAAACAGAGAAAGAGAAAGAGAGAGAGGGAGGAAGAGAGGTACTTCATTATATCACCTTTGAGAGAGTGGATCAATGATAACTGCTTTTCAAGGTTTTTGCATTCACTCGCCAAATATGTTTTCAAATAAAGAGGACACAGCTGCTATGCTTTTATTGTTGGGTTCTTTATAGTACTTACTTTGTCTTGTAAACCTTTCTGGTGCTACATAGTATGATTTTCAAAAGGTTCTTTAAAGAACCATATACAAAAGGGATTGGCATTGTAAAGAAACATGCAATTTAGCCAAATAAAGAACCATTCAGGCATTCAAATGGTTCTCTATGTTGTCACAGTTCTGTGTTTAGCCATTGCCTGTACTAAAGAACCCTTGAAGAAGGTTGTAGATTATAGTAAAAGTTCAGCAATAAACCAAATGTACACTTCCCTTTACTTTATACCTAAACTGGTGTTTGGGTGTCTGATGTTTGCTTGGTTCATTTTGCAGTGGAGACAGAATAATAGAAACTAATACTGCACCAGTTAGCATTGTGTAAACTGCATGTCTAGGCCTTTACACACTGTGTGTTCATTCAGATGTTAATAAATTAATTCGAACATCAGTATAACTGATATCTTGCACACTAAATGCAATTTCTGTAGGTGACACCCACTCACATGACCAATCATTGTCTCTATAACAAGAACTTTACAACATCAGAAAGATTAGTTTGCCCCCTGCTTTGTCACATATGGTGCTCAAAATAGGGGTTACTGACATTTTATGTGAAACAGAAGTGTTCATTATAAAGTTTCGACACCTGAGTGAATGAGGCAGTGAAACTATGTGCTTCTTTCACTTTTCCAGAATGGGATGTAGGCGACCCAGTGTCTGCTTTTACACTACTGTATGAGGATAGGTCATCTTTGTCACTTGAAGAAGACGTTGTCTATATGTTTGTTTTTTGACACGGTGGGTAAACAGTTTGAATAACATGACGTTGTTCTAAAAAAAAGTCACGTCATATCCGTTGTGGACTTAAATCACACGCTTGCCTCAAACTATGTTGAGTTATAATGGACAAAAGTATGCTGCTTAGCTAAAAACCAGTTGTAATAACCATCCTGTAGCCTGAATAGTATGTCATGCAGTGTCACAAACCACATAAGCAAATCTATTTGAGACTGAACGAGGCTTTGAGGCAAGTGTGTGATGAATTAGACATGCAGTTAGCACAACGCTAATATCTTGGGATACAACAAAGTCCTTAAAGGAAAGTCTGTCCACATGACGGCCATTTTGGCAATGCCGTCGGGCAGTTATTTCCACTCATAGACTAGGCTTCTGTCCGTTCGAATAGGGGCAAACCTCAAACTAACAGCCAAAACGCTGGTAAAATCTGACCAAAACAGCATAAACAGTTTGTAGCGTTTGGCTCAAATAACACATAAAAACATATTTGTTTTAGCTTGTTATGGCTACTGCGCATATCTCCACAATGAGGGGCAGCCTTGTGGCTTAACCAGCAAGATGGCTTGCTCATTTTATTATAGGGCTTTGCTCTCTCTGCAACCACATGCCATGAATGTTATGAGCTTTCCCATTCGTTTTCCAACCAGTGACCAAGCTCTCATTACTTATTAGCTAGTAGTCTTGTAGCTCTGGTGCAAGTCTAGAAGCAAACCTCAGACACCAAACTTGTCTTGGCCGATCGACTGTATTTGGATAAGAGGGGAAAACTGTAAATTAGATTTTTCTCCACATTATTCCTTTAAATTGATCTGATCCTAAGTGTGCGTTTACCTGCTCCTGGAATATCTTGGCGAGTGAGGCACAGTCGGTAGACATAATGAAGTCAACCACGTCAGAAACACTCCACTCCAGAGGATTCCTCTCTAGAACCAGGCGACCTTCTTCCTCTTCTGTATGGTCCGGCTACACATACACATAAACCAGTTAGGTGAAATTTCTTCGATTTTTTTAAATGTTTGTTCGTCAGGGTGTCAAAATGCAGTGATGTAGGGAACTGCTACAGGCTCAACGATACGATATCACAATATTTAAGTCTTGAAGTGATTCTGTTGGGGTTCTTAATGATTTTTGATGTGCTAAGCACTGCAATATGGTATACTGTGATTTACTACTTTTGACTGCAAATTATCTCTCACCATTCTTTACTATTCTTTGTTCACTTTAGTCTTTTTATTGAAGCAAAACTGAAGTGTGAAGTAGACAAATCCACATTTGTGTAATAATAGGATCAAACAATGTTAAAATACTAATAATTAAATAATAAAATATCAGTATAATACTGCATCCATTTTTTCTCCCACCCCAACAATCAGTGACATAAATATCATCTTATGGGCCCCAGTGCAAAAAAGTAAATGAGTAATAATATTATATGTAATAACGTGACAATGTAAGTTTCTTATCTATTCTCTTTTGTTATCTGTCAAACAAGTTGATGCTCCTAAGACATGCCACTCCACCAACTAGCATCTAACATTAACCTAAATGTGTAAATTAGGCTACTAATTAAAGATTTTAGAATAATAAATAACAATAATAATATCATGCTGCAGGCCGTACATGATTTGTTTACCATGAATGAGACGCATTATGAATAAAGAGAATATAAACAGACTTTAAGTTTTGTCTGTGCAGTGTTGACGTCAGCAAACTGGTGAGATATGAAGTTCAGAAATTGGATTTTAGTCCTGTCGCTGCAGTGCCTACAATGAAGGATCATGATGCATCAGGCTAAAGGTGATGATTTAACTGCAACACGTTTGGAATGTTAGAATTGATTGACATCAATTACAATAATATTCAATAGAGAATGTACTCATCAAAATTATAAGACTGTTTTCAAATGTAATTTAAAAAAAGACTTCAAACTGAACTGGATTGTGGTGAAACTTGAGACCTCATGATACACTGAATCATTTCGTAAAGAATCACATTGCTGAACTGAATCCCTGAGAGGTCAGTATAGATCTCACCTTTGTGAGTCCCGCAGGCTGGTTGTGTGTGTAGGAGTGTGAGCGTGTGGTTCTCCGCAGAGGTGACTGATCAGTGGTCCCGGGGTGTGTAATCCTGCGCTGGGCGACGGACCGGCGTGGCCGGCCTCTTCTCGACACGTCCATGTATGAGCAGGGAGGGGCCTCCTCATGTGGCTCTGAGCTGGAGCCTTCCTCACTGACTGAATCATCATCATCCTCATAGAAATAATCACTGTCCTGTGAAGAGGACAACAGTGAAGGTTTTAGTGTGAGTGTGTATGAGTGTGTGTATGAGAGAATGAGGGAGACAGAGTGTTTCTGCACATACACTCCTTGTCAAAAGTTTATAGACACTTTGCCTTCAGGAAAGAGTTTCTGTAGTCTGGACAGCAAACAAACACATGCAATGTGATTTTCAAGTGACATTTGTAGGAGGTTTTTAATCTGATTCAAATTAGATTTCCGTTATTTAGTGCACAGCCTTTCTTAATACTAGAATGTGCAACAGTAAAATCATTCTTCTCACACACTATGACAACAAATGTGCATATCTAATCAAATGCGTCTACGGTCTGACCATACAAATCAGATTTCTTTACTTGTAACTTGTAACAGGGGCGTAGATACGCTATCACCATGCCAGCATTTACACTAACAATGCAATAAGGTATGGAACTATGCTGTCTGGATGGGGGAAGTGGGGGGTGCTGAGGAGCCAAGATTTCAGAGTTGTTTAACTGCAACTGCTAAAAACAAATAAGTAATGCTGCATTTTCAGTACAGCAAGCCAAATCACTTCCCTCACCAACTGTTGGCTGCTTTGGGGGCACATCATTAAAACACAAGAAATATTAGTAGCCTAATCAACTATTGTATCTCCCACTCAGTGTGTGTTTGAGTGTTGAATCTTCAGCATATAGCATGACTATGGACTGGTGTATAAATATTGCATGATGTCAGTGTACATCTTGTATATCCCACTTAAAATATCAGCGCCTCCAGCTTTGAACACCTTTCCGCATCCTGCTTTCTGTCCAATGCTAATATGCCAACACAGTATTTAGTCTGTTTGACTCATAAGATCAAAATTCAAAGATTACACCTAGTATGCCTGCAGCATATCAGGTAGCTTAACAAGTGATTACAGCAGACTAGTGGCTGTGAACAGCATTAGTGTATCATAATGCCTGGTAATTAAACAAACTAACACTACTCAAAGTCTTTCCTGAAAAGTTGACTCCAAGCATTTTGACATTCAGAGTCAACCCTGACTCCCAGATGAGTCCAAGAATTGACTATTTTGGAACTATTTTGACTCCCATGACTACTTCCTTGGTATGAAGAGCAAGTTTTGCCTAAAGTTTTCTTTCCCAAACTATTGTTAAAAGCACATTTTGAAACTCTTTTGGTCCAAAGGTGTCTTAAAAACCTGGAAGATTTGATTGCTGATGAGTGCTTGCATCACAACAAGGGGATAAAATGCGTAGCCTTTGGTTTTATTCCTAATGTAGCACTGCCAGTAATACTGTCATCAGGTTTCAAATTGTGGCAGAGGTGTTGGGGGGTCCCCTGGTGGAAAGTCTGACTATGAGGTGACCTATGCACTGATGCATTCTATTTTATATATTTTGTGAGGTTTAGGCAGAGTCTTTTAACTTCAAGTCTGTATCAATATAAATGATTTTTACACTTAAGGCCACCCCACACTGTATGCACTGCCCCACACAGCATCCATAGATTGAAATCATTGTGATGAAGGTGGTGGTGACAGTGGCATTTTGGCAGCTGTTGAAATTCTCTGCACATCATAGTGTGCCACTTATCATCATTTTACCATCACTGCTTTAAATTAAACCCAAAATGAGACGACACAAAATCATAGTGGATCACATGTGGCTTGAAATTCACACAGAGAAAAAGCGTAAAGTTTTAGATGGGCAGACAAATATTAATAGTTACTTCAGCCAGCATTACATCCTTGTCTTTTTCACCTCATATCTTTCAAGCTGATAACAGGGTATAAATGATAAAAAACATGATACATTCATAAATTTCATTCAAAGTTTTATTCCTCTGTATTTATAGAAGAAAGAGTGTAAAAATGAACTTGAACTTGGCATTTGTCCATGCCATCATTGCATTGCATTCTATATGGTATAGCTGCCCTTTGTACTGCATCTGTTACGCAATGCTCTGTGGTGGTCCGATGAGCAGTTGACTTCAGAAGCTGACAACAAGACATGGCAAACAGATCTAAAAGCCTACCTCTTTCTCAGTTACTTAACCCAAATATATATTACATAGGTAGTAAAAGCATTGATTTAGTCGCCAGTAGGCAGCTTTGGTGGGTCCCCTAAAAAGTAAAACCAAATTACAGTTCGCTGCTGGACAAACTGGTATAATTTTGTTGGTTGTTGCGCAAAAACACATGAAGGCTAGCATAAACATTATTCTTTGCATGTTCTCAAACGGCCTAAAATGAAAACTCTTTGCTAACAAGAACATATTTGTTGGCTTATGGCATGGCTGGCAACAGCATTTATTTCCTTTATCTGCTTACTTACAGGCTAAAGTTACAAATTTGTACTGGGTGAGTTCACAGTTTATTCAGGGAGTGGAATCTAATGCTGAACACAACATAAAAGAAGATGGTCACCTCATGTGAGGGTATTCATTTTGTCAGAAAATTCACATTTTATTTAAGGAAATAACACAGAATTCCCTAAGTTCAATTTTGTCTCTCCTAAAGGGGGTCCCTTTACTCTTATGGAAGAAGTCTGAAACTCCCAGCCCCACCTCAGCCCTGACTGTCACTAATATTTACACATGTAATATTTCTTTTCTTGAAATAAGCCTGGTTGGTAGCAAACTGATATAGAAAAAAAACATGAAAATTTAAGTGTAGTGTGTGTGCGTGTCTAACCTGAGGTGACTCTGTGTTGTTGTATCCTACAACAGAAGAGCGTCGTTTTTTCTGAACAAAGATGGTTTTGCGTTTCTTTCTGCGGCGTGAAGATTTGGCTGTGTCTCCGTCCTGTGTGCTCTCTGCCAGGCTGGGACGCCCCACTTTCCGTCTCTTTCCATAGTAATATGCTACAACACGCACACACACACACACACACACAGTGTACACAATCACTATGCATACTTTACCAACACACTCTGCTAGAACAATGATCAGGTCAGTGTGTGTGTGTGTGTGTGTGGGTGTGTGGGTGTGTGTGTGTGGGTGTTTATGAGGAAAATGATACCTCACATATAAAACCATATCATTTTCATTCCAAACGTAAAATTCAAATAAGCACAACCGTCTCATCAAGAGAGCAGAGTGCAAGTGTGGAACCTACAAAAACATTCAAAGTATCTCCTTCTCTCTCCCCTTTCCTCTCTCTCACTCTCTTTCTCCCCCTCTCTCAGAGGAACTGACAATTATCTCACTCTCTCTCTCTCACTGTCTAAGGAACTCTGTCTCTCTCTATATCTTTCACTCTCTCTTTTCTCCCTCCTCTCAGAAGAACCATTACTATTATCTCTTCCCCTTCTGCCATTCTCACTACTTCACTCTATCTCTCTCTCCCAGTTTGCTATTTTTTATCCCATAATTTCTCTTTGTATCTCTCTGTCTTGCTTCCTCCTTGTCTCTCCCCTCTCTTAGTCTCTCTTCCTTTCTCCCTCAATGTCTCTCTCTCCTTCTTTCTCTCTGATTAACTGACTATTATTTCTCCCTCTGTTTATCTCTCCCACTCCCTCATTCTCTCTCCCCCTCTCTCTCTAACTGTGTCTCTCTTTACCTTTTTTCTCTCTAATTTTTCTGTATATGTAGTTGCTCTCTCTCCCTCTGTTTCTCTCTCTCTTTCTCTCTCTCTACCTCCCTCTGTAGCTCACTGTATTTGACTATTATTTCTCCCTCTTTTTCTCTCTCTCCCTCCTTCTCTGCCATTGTCTGCCTCCCTCTCTCGAGCCCTATCTCTCTGTTTCTCTCTCCCTCTGTTTCTCTCTCTCTCTCAGTCACTCACTGTATTTGGTCTTGGTGTATATCGAGCAGTTCTCGGGGCAGGTGTCTGAGATGAGCATTGGGCCGAACAGATTTGGACAGCACTGCAGCCTCACACACACAGTCCGGCAGAAATCTGAGATTTGCTCGGCCAAGCGCACGATCCGCACACTCGAACGATAACTCTTCCCTTTATACCTGAAAATGCACACAGATACAAATCAATTTTCCACCCAGCCTGCCATTTAAATATATTCTTACTGGGAAATTTGTGCACTTTCTTGCTCAAATATGCGCATGCATGAATATGCAAATCAGCTGTCTAGGAACCTCATTATGCAAATGAGAAAAAACACACAGTTCATTAGGACCACCGGGTTTATACTCTCAAATTTATCATTCATGAAACACACACATTTAGAAAAACACAAACTAAGAGGCAAGCATTAATGGATGTTGTCTACATGGGAAAGTATTTGAGAAAGAATAATCTCTGTGTGTGTGTGTGAGTGTGTGCATGTTTTTATTGTGACTGTACAGGAACACTAGAGAAAGACAGGGCTAACAGAATTTACACATAGGTAGTTGCCTACTATGGGATATATTATTTGTACATATAGACACATTCATATATATAATACATACAGGATTATCACCATGTTTCTAATGTGCTGCTGCTCCTCTGTGTGTCCCATTAGAACCTGACACCAAGACAGATTGTACTTTTTGTCCTAGTACATCCCACAGATGCTCAGTCAGACTGAGATCTGGGGACTTTGGAGCCCAGAGAAACACCTTGACCTCGTTGTTAAATTTTCCATACAATTTTTGAACAGTAGCCCATATTTATCAGACTTCTCAAAGTAAGACTGCTGTTCTAGGGTCAACATACAGCTTTTATATAATACTGGATAAAATGAATAAACTGATAAAACCTGATCTTAGATAGACTTTCTTACTTTGAAATACTTGCTAAATTTGGGCCAATGTGTTAAGTATGGCAGGCTGTGTATCGTGCTGAAAGAGGCTACTGTCACTGGGGAATACCATTGTCATGAAGCCTTGCTGTTTCAAAGGAGCTCCGACCGAGTCATCTGGCCATAACAATTTTCTCCCTTGTCATAGTTGCTCGGGTCTTCACGCCTCCCCATTTCACCTGCAGTCAACAAGCTGACTACGAGAACTGGCTGTTCGTTTTTTGGCTTCTATGTCCCAAATCTTAACATGTGTCACTGAGACGTTAACTTAAAAAAGATATAATTTTGACGCCAATGGACTAAGAAGTTAAATTCATAATTCATGATTCAAGAAAACCTGGATACTGAACTCTCAAATGTTTTATACAGTTCACATATATGTAAAAAGAACATTTTTAACAGTTTTCTCTTTCTCCTGTAAAGTTACTATTTTTAAGAAATGAGGTTTTGGTCTGACAGCGATGACATGCATGACCCCACATTCAGACACAAATCTTATCACATAAAAACATATCTGTGTGTGTGTCCTTACTTGGCTTTCAGCGTCTCGTCCAGACAGTTCCACTTCGGGTCTTCCACCAGCTGCAGCTCTCTGAGAACACGAGCAGGCTTATATGCTGAGTTTATTAACATCGTCAGAACCTGCGGGTACACACACACACACACACACCACACACACACGCACACACACACACACACACACACACACATAGTACATAAAAACGCTTTCTGAATGTTGAGTCAAATGAAGGTACCACAATTTGTATGTACTCAACTGTGCACACACACACACACACACACACACACACGTCTGCACTGTGGGTTCTGCTGTACCTCTTTGAGGACAAGTGTGCACTTGCCAGGCCCTACAGTCTGAGGCAGCTCAGCAATTCTGCCCTTATTGAGGTACGGGCCAGAAAAACAGCGGTGATTTATAAAGATCTGAGAACAGCAGTACTTTCCATTCACAGAACCTACAAGAGACACAAACACACACACACGTACACAAGGGATTTTATTTACTTTTTGATTTGTGAAAAAAGTGACTTTGAATAATTTACTTGACTCATCATTTCAACACATATAAAATATATTACATCAATAAGGTTTATGGAAATGTAACTGAAACTTGTAATGATGTATTATTGTTTTATTATTGTTAATGTTATGAATTTACATGAATCAATGTACATCATTTACTAGATAAATAATCATAAATATATATCTTGCTACAAACAACCTGTGTCCATTGTGACAGACTGGCAAAGGTCGAGAGGGACGTTTTCCATAGGTGAAGGTATTGACCTGCAAATCAATCAGTACACTGATCAATTTCATACAAAAACACATTTGCAGTGAATTTACATCATTAAAACAGTGCAGAAGTCAGATTCATTTAATTTCCAGTCAATACAGCCATTAAGTACAATTTATTTCTTTTCTTTTAGTGTGATGGCCTACCAGGTCTTGCATAGTTGTTAAGTGTTCCAATTTCTCTCTTTAAATAATGTTTGCAACATGTTCTCTTATTTTACTTCACCTTCCCCTGCTAGTGGGATTGAGTGCCAGTGCCAGTAATGAATTTTCACTGGAAATTAAACAAATGTGACTTTTGAACAGCACACTTAAAAATGGTTCTTCAAGGGTTCTGTAGTAAAGAAAATGGTTCTATAAAGAACCATGAACACTCAAAGCACCCTTGAACCCTGCATGATTAAAGCGTTCTTTGCATGGTTAAAGGGTTCTTCAGATTGATGGAGAATGTGTTATATATAGCTGTATATAGAACCTACAAGCTTGGAATCATAGCAATAGAAGAATGCTTTTTTGTGCTATACATCCATCTACAGCACATTCTGAAGAACCCTTTCATAAAGTGAAGAACCCTTTAATGGTGCAAAGGGTTCTTTGAGTGTTCATGGTTCTATATAGAACCATTTCGGTGCTATATGACCATCTACAGCACATTCTGAAGAATCTTTTCATAAAGCAAAGAACCCTTTAATGATGCAAAGGGTTCTTTGAGTGCTCATAGTTCTATATATAACCATTTTCTTTACTAAATAACTCTTGAAAAACCCTTGAAGAACCATCCCCTCTGAGTACTGTGTGCTGACATCACATGCTGATATCAAAACCTTCATCTGCTTTGGGTTTTATATTTTTACCCCATTTGAAAACACCAGTTGCCTTTTCCATTGTGTGAACACTTCATGATGAATGGACAAACAGAAATGATCCAAAATGAATGTCATTACATTCATGTACAGTATGTTAAAGTTTTTTCCTTTCCCTGTAAAGATTTCAGAGCCATGTGGTTTTGTTGTGACAGTGATGCTATGTGTGTGTAAAATAAAACAGAATGGCTCTGAAACTGCTCTAGCCACTTTTGATTCAGGACCATACAGTGGTGTTGAAGTGCCTTTAGGACGATGCACCACAGTGAGGAAATGAAACAGAGCAATGTTGAGTCTAGTAGAAGAGTTACGCAAGGTCAGGTGTTCAGAGGATTAAACGGCTGATGTAATTTTGCCATTAGTACCAAGGTACTTTACAAGCGCGTACAGAGAATAGGGACAATGATGGGTCAAATGTTTGGATAAAAGTATGAGTCATTTAAACTTTCCATCAAACTTACTGTTTCTCTGGCTGCACCACTGCAATCTTCTTCTGAGACTGACCTGAAAAACAGCAAAAAATCAGAAATCACCATTCAAAAGTTTGGAATCACTGTTTCTGATAAAATAAATCTTTTTGTTTTTTGCAGATAGATGTAGTTCTGTGCAGCATCCCATACGTAAAGAAATTAGAATGTTAATAAAGTTAATTAAAAAAAGAAATGTTAAGAATGAACAGAGCTGTAGATAATTCTATGACTTGACAAGAAATTAATAATTTATAATTAAATAACTTCTTAATGTTCCCAAATCATTAAATATAATACACACAATAGGTGGGGGATACCAACAAGAGAGAGGGAGAGAGAGAGAGAGAGAGAGAGAGAGAGAGAGAGAGAGAGAGAGAGAGAAAGAAAGAAAGAAGAGATAGAGTTAGCTCAAGTGTGTGCGAGAGAGTGACTTAAGAGTAAGAGAGAGGGAGAGAGCAAGAGAGAGGGAGGGAGAGAGAGTCAAGAGTGAGAAAGAAAGAAAGAAAGAAAGAAAGAAAGAAAGAAAGAAAGAAGAGAAAAGAGAGTTAGCAGGTATGTGTGAGAGAGAGTGACTTAAGATTGGGAGAGAGGGAGAGGGGGAGAGAGAAAGTTAGGAGTGAGAAAAAGAAAGAAAGAAAAAAAGAAAAGAAAGAAAGAAAAAAGAAGAAAAGAAAGAAAGGAAAAAGTAAGTAAGAAAGAACGAAAGACAGAAAAGTAAGTTAAAAAAAAAGGGATTTAGCTTGTGTGTGAGAGAGAGTGAGAGAGACAGAGAGAGAGAGAAAAAGAGAGAGAGAGCAGAGACCCACCCAACACCCAGGAGAGAAGTCATGTTTAATATGAGATCTTAAAATTTACATTTTTTTTAAATAAGCAAAAACATGCTTATAACATAATTTGACAAAAAACAAAGAAATAAATAACAAAAGGAGACAAGCTAGCACACACACAGCACGCAGGAGCGGCAGCAGACAGCACCATAAACAGAATCAGAGAGAAAATCCTGAGACTCTGTTTAAAGACTGCAGTATAATCAAACGGAAAAGCACTACCACCAACCTGCTTTACAGCACGGCATTCAGCTATACTAAATACTTCACACGCACCACAAAACGAGGGATCTGCAAAGGCTGTTAAATATACATTTTTGGAAGTGAAACTGGTGGAACTGAGGGGGCAGATCCACACCCATAGCACTACCAGCACAGACATGAGCTTCCTCAGGGACCAGCCCACCACACTCCACCAAAAGTCCACCACCACCTCCTATCTAGACCAATCCAACACTCCCATCCTGCCAGATCAGCTCATATTCCACCACCACTTAGATCAGCTCAGTATCCCTCCTCAAGCCAGACCCTCAACCCACACCCTGAGCAGACCCTCTCTCACGGGACTTCTCAATTACTGAGCAAGAGCTTAAAGATAAAAGTAAAAGACTAAAACCAAATAGGGCACAGGGCCTGATGACATCCTAAATGAGACACTAAAACACACAAGCTCAAAATTTCAAGTGGCCACTGTAAAGCTGTTCAATTTAGTTATGAGTGAAGGTTACGTTCCTGACCTCTGGACTCATGGACTAATAACACATCATTAAAAATGGAGATCAGATCTGAACAATTACTAAGACATTTGTGTGAACAGTAATCTGGGGAAGATCCTGTGAAGCATTTTAAACTCTAGATTTGAAGATGAAGTACAGTTTTTGTGAAATTAACGCACCACTGGTCATATTTAAACCTTACACACCCTAATCGAATATTTTCGCATGTTTTATTGATTTCAAAAAGACTTTCATTCTATTTGACACCAAGGATTATTCTACAAATTTACTGAAAGTGCCATAACTTAAAGTGGTATAATTACATATGACCTAATTAAATCAATGTATATGGGAAATAAATGTGGGATAAAATTGGCAACAAACAAACAAATTCCGTCTCTTAGGAGTGCAGAGTGAGACAGGGCTGCTGTTACAGCCAACACTATTTAATATTTATATTAATGAATTGGCAGAAATAGTAGTAGAGTCTACAGCTCCCGATCTCACTCTGTATGACCCAGAGATAAAATTCTGCACTATGAAGATGACCTGCTTCTGCTGTCCCCCACAGAGCAGGGTCTACAGCAGAACCCAGACCTGCTGGAGCAGTACTACCAGATCTGGGCTCTGGTAGTAAACCTAAACAAAACTAAGGTTATGATTTCACAAAGAACCCAGATCTCAAGCACAAATGAAATTATTCACTCCTCAAAGTATAATTATTTAGGCATCAAAATCAGTTCTTCAGGGAATTTTCATCAGGCCATGAGTGAACTCAGAGGAAAAGCTCACGGGGGTTTCTGAGCCATAAAATGTCAAGTTTCTGCAGAAATTTCAATCAGAGTTTGGCTAAAAATATCAGTAATTAAACCAGTTGCCCTTTATGGTAGTAAAGTGTGGGGTCTGCTTACAAATGAACAATTTGACAAGTGGGAAAAACATCCAACTGAGACTCTGCATGCAGAATTTTGTACAAATATTTTTAGTATATAGAAATACCACCACCACACAATGAATTAGGCAAATACCTAATAATTATAAAAATGCAAAAAAACACAGACTTTTGGGAAACAAAATCACACAGTAAAATGCAATATTATCTGGCCCTAAAAAGACAGCACACTGTGGCAGAGTACCTGAGCACAGCGACTGATCTAATACAATACAAATGTAGCATTATTTGTCATGCCAGTAAAGCACTTTGAATTGAAACTGAATTGAATTGAGAAAGCAAGAAAAGGAGAGTGAGGAGTGAGAGAAAGGAAGAGAGAAAAGGAGAGACAAATAAGAAAGAAAGAAAGAAAGAAAAGAGAGAGATTCACAGGTAGAACTCACAGACAGCCTTCCGTATGGCTGTTAGCGGATAGCTGTTAGCTTCACACCAGCCCACAGGGAAAATGTCCATACTCTCCACGTCAACTACACAATCTGCTAGAGGCTTAGATAGTCCTGTAGAGAGAGAGAGACAATGACAAAAATAGTGATAAAAAAGTGAAATAATTACAAATACAACAAAATATATCTTATTACTTGTTATTTTAATAAAATGTTTAGATGTTAGACATAATGACTCAAGATTGCTAATGACTCAAGTCCATCAACTATTTAAAGGTCAAAGCTACATCTTGAAATAACTACTGTCTGATGGTGACTGCACCATCTACCATGCATCATCTACTTTTAGTTACTTAGCATTTAGAAATAGAAGTATGACTTAAATCTAAAGTCATTAGACTGGTTAGAAAAAGCAATTACAAGATTTTTTTTCACAATGAAATTGAAGTAGTGAAGTAGTAACTCATCAAACATTTAATATTCAGTCATTAATCTTAAGAATTTAAGGAGAATTCCAGCGATTTTTCAAAATGTATGTATATTTCAATCACTGAGATGAAAACAAAGTCAGTCAGACTGTTTTGATGTGAAAAGTTTATTGTAGAGAAACTTACTAACTCAGATTTCTTTGCAGTAGTGGGGTTAGGTACCAGGGGTCACAATGTCTACAACATGATTATAGCCATTTTATTTATTATCCAAAACCACCAGTTAACCTACGTGTGTCTTCTGAGTGTTTATGTGCACATCTGTGAAAGTGGTAAATCTGAAAAAAAGATGTTTTCTTTGGGGACTGCTTTGCCTTACAACACCCTACATGTATCTCTCCACCATTAATGGATACAAAACAGTACATTCTAGCCCTCTGTTCTCTAGAATGGAGCATTTCACATCAAACCACTCTGAATGACTGTGTTTACATCTTAACAATCAACTTATGGAGAAATTTAGAAAAATGGGTGGAATTCCTCTGTAGGTTACATAGCTATGATAGTGAGGAACTAAAGTGTAGACCCATATAAAGACCCTTAGAGTTGTAGGGGTTATAAAAAGATCTGGGTAAATATGTCGCACAGATACACAAACACAGAGCGGCCTCCTACCTTCAAATCTGAGCCAGAGGAGCCGACCTTTGACCTGAGTGATACGTGCAACGCAGAGTTCTGCCGGCTGAAGAGGATTCACAGCTTCCAGCCATGTATCCTTACAGAAACCCCTACTGAGAGATGCCTGCACACACAGACACACAGACACAGGTTTTTATACCTTAACACAAGATGATGTCTCATTCATATGCCCCATCTGTACTGTATAATGTATATCTTAGTAAAAATTACTGCAATTAAATTGATCTGGAAAAAGGCTCGAATTATTACTAATAATAAATCTTACATGCTTAAATATCATTCCTACAATTTAAAGTTGAATTTTAAGATATTATAATTCAATTTTTATCAAATAATGTACTATTATTTGCCAGCAATTCGTCCCTTAGAATTCATAGCTCTGTTTCTAAGATTTTTGTTTGTTCTTTTAATGGATCCATTTTGGCAGCCCACGGGATCTTCACTTGGCATGTGTCCTTAAAATGTATGACCTTATTTACATGTTGACTTTTCGCCATGGGCACAGGTGAAAAAAAACACAACATTAAACAAAGACTGGTGTGCTATGAAAAGCTCTTATTTATCATGCCACACATTTTGCATGGTGTAGTGCAGTTACCGCTGAGTTTTACGAATCTTGGCCATTGTGTGTATCTAATAACCTAATAAACCTAACTCAAAACTTAACCTCATGAACCAAAAAGAAATGGTTTTGTTTCACAACAAAAATACACACAGAAACATCCCCATGCATGCACATGTACACTCACACATCCACGCACGCACACACACACACACACACACACACATACATACATGCAAAGCACAAAGACACAAATATGGGTCAGCTGCTCAATCCCTCATGACTAATTACACAAAACAACTACTGCAAAATCAACATAAACAAACAATGAGATTATGCGCACGATCAAAAAAATGTTTTCCAGTGATAAAAATATTAATTATTCAGGCAGAATCAAATGGAAACAGACAGGCACAATTAATCACTATTTAGAAGAATTACAGTAATTGGCATTAAGCACGAAACGAGCCTGCAGTTACTAACACATATAAACACCCACACAGGCGCGCACACACACACACATTACGTCCTGGGGGAAAATGGCAGTGATGAAGAAATGACCAGCTATGAAAACTGAGAATAAAATCTACAACATGCAGAAGAACTGAAAGCAAAAAAAAATTCCTTCACACTAGCAACTAATTTCCTGTGAAATATGACATGTCATGAGGAAGTCCATTGTGACGTATGTGTTTCACAAATTTTTAGGAAAAAAATGTCCAGCCTTTGTTGGTGAATCAGATAAAAACAGGACTATGCATATGAGAAATATTATCATTTATCATTTTGCACAGATACTCACATAATAGTACACATTTATATATGTATATGTATGTATATGTATGTGTATATATATATATATATATATATTAGTGCTGTGCAAATCTCAGAGACCACCCTTACTTTTTAATTTCAATTCAAAACAGCCCGTAAGTTATTCAGTTTTCACCTTCAGAAAAAGCAGAAAATAATCACACAGAAGCTTCAACAACTAACTCCACAGCATTACAGATTCCATTCTTTTCTGACGACTTGTTTCAGTTTTTTTCAAAGAAATTTACAGGGATATTTTTCCACACCTCAAAAGTTCAGTCCTAAAAGCTGGTTGCATTTCCTGCTTCTCATGATCGAAGTAATCCAAACACATTCAGTGATGCTGAGTTTTGGTCATTGGTGGTCTACCAGATGGTCTCTCTGTATCTCTTAACAAATTTTTTGAACTGAAGTTCTGGAAATTCCTGTTTTTACTCTTATGTTCCCCTGATTTTCCCCTTCCTTGTGCAAGTGAATTCTTTTATGTTTGACCTCCTGAAAATATATAAATATCTCCTGAAAAATAAGCAGGCTGTACTTAATAGCCATTTTGAATGAAAATTAAATAAATGAAGGGTGGTCTCCGACTATTGCATAGCACTTTATTCAGTATAGTGACTCCTTTTTATTACCCTTCATAATTTTCTATTATGTCACTGAAATCCTTAGTCTGATATGCATGGCGCTATAAGGGACATATGGGACATATTCTTCTATTTACATATGGCTAATTACATATGACCCACACTGCATGTGTTTGTGTGTGTGTGTGTTTGGGTATATTTTTCAGTGGGTAAATACCTAATAGGGAAATTCCTCCGCTTTCAAGAATATTGTCCAAGTTATCTCAAATAAAGAAGAGAAACCCCCTAAAGCCTACATTAAAGACTGGCAAACTGCACACACTTTCTCTTTCTTACTCTCACACACAAACACATCATACACACCCAACACACCATACACATGGATACTTTCTCTCTTTTTTTCATGTCCTTGCAGATTATTTCTCTCTCACACAGAAACTGCACATCTTGTTTTTCATCCTTTGCACACTGTCAGTATCAGACTCTACAGAAAGATTTTAGTTTAAAAACCTTTAGTTTAGTTTAGTTTAGTTTAGTTTCGGGGGCAGTACCAAATTATGACAGGTTTGCTTTCCAAAACGTGGAGGGGAGAGTTCACCTTTTAACAACTGATCACACTGAAACTTCAGGGAAATTGTCAGGCCAAGTTTTTTAAACAACAGAAACTAGTGTTCACACTTAGCGGAAAAAGAAAAAAATAGCCTTGCATATCTTGCACAATAATGTGATGCAACATTGTTGTACCACAGCAAACTCACTGTACATCATAGCAAACTAATTTAACTATTTGGGAAAAAAAAAACATCTAATAAACTTTACAAACTAAAATACAAACACTGTTAGAAATAAAGCTACTGTACATGTACATTTTTCATTCATCAAGGTACAAACAATGTAAATGTAACCTCAGGTACAACAGTGGTTTTGACGTCCAATTGTGCACCTTAAGTTTTTCCAGGTGAAAAGTACATATTTGTATCTTTTCATAACCTGATGTTTTAAAACAGAACAATAAAATAAAATGCCTGGAGACGAGACGGTGTGCGTGGAGTCAATACAACAAGTCAATACAAAAAAGAAAAAATATGGTACAATTATGGTCCCTGACTAAATGTACAGAGATGCACCCTTGAGGGTATCACACCAGTGACAAGAGGGGTACTGCCAGTAATAGTTTTATACCTTTATTTCTGAGAGTGAAGAAAAAGATAAAAATGAAATAGACAGACATCAATAATCATTGATAATAGTAATGTCAGTTACTCTGAAAATTTTTTGAAATAAAAAGCTTTATGCCTAAATGCTGTAACGAGCAGATTATCACTGGCTGCAAGTGCAAAACTGATTTTCACAGAAACTGAAAGTATGGCGACATGAGAATAAATAAACATCACTCACGACCAGGCTGTTATAACCGTATCACTATTTCGTAGCACAGTATGAGTGAAAAATGAGGGAAGCTGTGCTTACGTTGAGGAAACAGGCCTCTGGAGCAGCTTCTGTACCAGAATACTTCAAATAATCAGCCCAGTCAAAATCCTGAGACTGAAAGCCTGAGACAGAGAGAGAGAGAGATGATGTGGAGAGAGAAAAAAAATAGACAGATTAAATGTCAGATAGACATCAGGTAGATTTGACCACACACTCATACTCAAGTGGTGGATATGGAGTCACCAAACATTACAGCAAAACAGCAGCCAAGTCCTTTAGACCCACCTCTAGGTTTCTCCAGTCCAACTCCGTTCTTCAGGCACCACTGGACTGGCAGAATGGCCGGTGAATCAGCATGACACACTACAGAGCGCGGCGTGGCCTCAGCCGTCACGTCATCCACTGTGACCTGGAAGTAGTACTCATTGTATACCTGCACAAGAGAAAACGATGAGGTTGCAAGCGAAGCAGAAGATCTGAGTAGGATTCACTGATAATTTATGTCATGACTTTTAGTTAATCCTTTTAATGCTTTCAAAAGCAGGTCAGCGGGCAAGAGGTGTGATGAGTGGACTGAGCGCAACATCTAAGGGGAAACTCGGGGTCCTGTGAGAAACACCAACCATGTACTTTCACTAACTAACCACTTCATTAGAAACACCTACCTTTTATTTCCACTAACTGGCCACTTTACTTGAAAACCTACCTTGTACATCCATTAACTGGCCAAGTACTTTCTAAGTACTTCCACTCACTGGTTACTTTATTAGAAACACCTACTTTGCACTTCCATTAACTGGCCACTTTATTAGAAACACCTAAACACCTGCCCTGAACTTGCACTCACTGGCCACTTTATTAGAAACACCTACGTTGTACTTCCCTTAACTGGCCACTTTATTAGAAACACCTAAACACCTGCCTTGTACTTACACTCACTGGTCACTTTATTAGAAACACCTACCTTTTACATCCATTCAGTGGCCACTTCATTAGAAACACCAACCTAAAGTCCACTTTATGAGGAGTACAGTTAGAGAATGTAGCCCATCTGTTGACACACAAACTGGCAAGACTGAGCATTGATGAAGGACTAGAGGATGGCTAACATAAACCGGGCATCAACAGATGGGCTACATTCTCTAACTGTACACCAGCAAGGTGGAGCAACAAGGGAAGGGTTTCTGATAAAGTGGCCAGTGAGTGTATGAATCTGTGTTTGTGTGTGTGTGTGTGTGTGTGTGTGTGTGTGTGTGTGTATGTGTGTGTGTGTGTGTGATAGAGAGAGAGAGAGAGAGAGGGAGAGAGAGAGAGAACGAAAGAGAGAGCTTACTTTAGTGACAGACGCAGGACAGATGTGGAAGGGTTCTCCAGGTGTCACCATTTCCAGCTTCATCCCAGTTTTGAAGGAGTGCTTATGCAAATCAGCATGATCCTGTTAAACACACACACACACATTCTCAATGTACAGGGGTGGGCAATATGACTATATGTTGACGTGATAAATGACACCAAAATGTTCTTTACATCATGGGTAACATTAGTACTTTTATATCGTTGAACAACTGCATGGATCTCAAAAAAGACAGATTTAGATCAATTATAGAGAATACTTATAAATAACAATAAATAAAATTAGCATCCTATTTTTATATTATCTTTATTCATTTATTTTTACAGTTGTTTGTGCTTTTTTAAAAAAATTGTAAATGTTAAATTTAAGTGTCAAACTCAGTTTTTCATAGCCTTTGGCACTATATGGGACTACTCATTCCAACCGTAGCTGTGAGTAGGTATTCTGAGTAGGGGGTTGCAGCAGCAGTGCAAAAAACTCATAACATGCACTACTTGACCGCTTTAAGTTTAACCTTTCTCAGCTCAGAGCACCACACAAAAAAGATGTGATGAGCACGAAGTACCTTGTGCACAAAAAACGCGTCTCTCATTGAGAATAACTTGAAATGGTGCACTTTGTCAAATGTTATCACTAAGACCGGGTCACAGGTATATAATGGTATAGCTGTCACCTACATTGCCTTCTCACCCATAGCTGCAGATGTCCCAGCTACAGAAATTGCAGAATATAGCAAAAGCACCATTACAGAACGCAGCTAGAACATGGAGTAGCAGCAGTGTTGATGGATTTGATGTCCTTTTACCCATTTAAGAACAGGCCAGTAAGGAAGACGAATGATGAGAGGACTGCATGAAGCATGTACGGGGAAACTTTAGGTCTTATTAAAAACCTAAACCTTGTACTTCCACTCACTGGCCACTTTATTATAAACACCTACCCTGTACATCCACTCACTGGACACTTTACTAGAAACAGTTACCTTGTATTTTCACTCACTGACCACTTTATAAGAAACACCTACCTTGTATTTTCACTCTTTGGCCACTTTATTAGAAGCACCCACCTTGTACTTCCACTTATTGGCCACTTTATAAGAAACACCTACATGTTCTTTTACTCACTGGCCACTTTATTAGAAGCACCTACCTTGGACTTCCACTAACTGACCACCTTATTAGAAACACATATGTGTACTTCCACTCACTGGCCACTTTATTAGAAATGCCTACTTTGTACTTCCACTTATTGACTGCTTTATAAGAAACACCTACATGTTCTTTTACTCACTGGCCAATTTGTGTGAAAGAAGGGGGCATTTACAAGTTGCATAATTGTGCATATGCATAAATCTTCACATTCTTAATGCGTGTTGAGGTTTAAGGACTCACCTATGCAAATTTTTAGTATCGTGTTGGGCACAACAAACGTATTATTCAACATAGATTTTTTTTTTCTGTTTTAAATTCTGACGTCCACCCTCAGTTCACAGTTACCTTAAAGACTTCCAGGGGCAGGGGTTTTTTCAAGGCTTCGGGAGTTGCTTTCTCTAAAGCCTCTGTCCACTCCTCAGAGCTTTTCATATCACGCAGCTCTGCAGAGGAAAAGAGAACAGTACACCACGTCAGCGCATTAATTTATTCATCCATCAATCCATCCATCCATCTGGTTGACACCTCATTGATCCATCTGCCTCGCTGAGTATCAAAACACTGTTGATGTTTTCTGTATGCTCCTCCATAACTACACAAACAAGCATATGTGCATAGGCTTTCGGAAACAATGCAGCATGGGCTCTATTCCAGATGTTTGACTGGATATTTTAGTCCCAGTTCCAGAGAAGTGATATAAATCTGTTGCTCAGAAAAGCCAGAGAATGACTCAGAGTCGCACACAAAAACACACAGGGCCTCTAGTGATCCACAAGCTACAGCAATACAGCAAACAAGTTTACCACAGCATAACAGGCCACAGGCTCTGTTGTATGTTTAACCCCTTAAAATCCCAGATTACATACTAAGGCATATTATTCAGTAACTACAGGGACTTCAATGCAAACTGATTGAGCTATTCTTTGGTTATAGAAGTGTGTAATAAAACTTTGGGCCGGCTGGTGGGCCATGGCCATTTAAGGGGTTAAGCAGCTCTTCGCCCTCTGCTTAGCTCAAAGACACTCCCTTACAAAGAAAAGAATTAATATGCTCTGCTGCAGCGCTCAGTGTGAGCAAACCTCAGCCTAACGCAACAGGCCTCTTAGTCAGAGTTTCCACAGAAAACACACATACTTCTCCATGGTCCTCCATGGTGGTTTAATCACATTTTATTTACTGTAACTAGTTCGTTTACGATTGCATTAAAGCTTTGACTATATAATACATGTGATTGAGAAGGAATAACCACATGCACACCTTTTTGATTTTGCTTCTTTAAAATGGAACATTAATGGGAATGTGTACATGTCAGAGGGGCAGCTTTAGTATGGCAAAGTGAGGCAAAGCTGCACCCCTGGACAAATTACATGATTTTCTAAGTGAAAATAAGTACACATACTCTACAGAGAACAAACTTGTGCACATTTTCTAGGCACAATTATTCTTTATTTACTCAATTTAACATACTAGAAAAACAATAAAACATAAAATATGGCCTGTGCAAAAGTTATGGTACATTTTCTTCATCTTTTCCAATGTCTTAAACTCGCAGAAAAACTAGCAGAAAAATTCCATTGTCCAAGTGTGAAGTGCAGAGGATGTGTTCATTTCTTTTTCACATAGAAATCAACTTAACATATTTGACAGGGGATCTCCCAACTTTTTGCTCATTTGTTCTGTATACACCAAGTCAATTCAGTACATCTTCAATGTAATAGATTCAATTCACACTATAGAAGAATCACATTTGGTAACCCTAAAGAACCTTAGATGATTCTTTAAAGAATTATTCTGGTAAATGAGATGTATGAGAGTGTGAAGAAGCTTTTCAAAGGAACGGTTTGGCAAGAAATCATGATTTTCCACTTACCCAAGATGTAGTCGATCAGCTGACACATGCCCAGTGTCCAAATTTTGCCTCTTTAGATTAGCATTGGAGCTTTGAGGCTAATATTGCTAACAAACACTAGATGTCAACCTTTTCTGTAAATACATTCCCAATATGTCCCTCAACCCACTTAAACTGCATGCAGGTCTTCATCCAGTCAAGGTCACTCTGACTTGTTGGGACACAGTGGGCCAGATTCATAAAACACAGCTATAACAGCACATCATCATGCACAATGTGCATCACAGTAAACAAGAGCTTTTCATAAACTTCAACATTTTTACATGTGAAAATTGTATATTTATTTGTAAAATAAGCTAAAACTATGTGAACTACTAAACCACTAAAATCACATACACACACACTTTATAAGCCACTTATTCTTCTGGGTCGCGGAGGGAGCTGGAGCCTATCTCAGCAGTCAACTACTAAAATCAATTCAAACATTATTAGAATCTCAACATCAAAATTCCTCCTCATTTATTTCCAAACCCACTTTCCACGAACAGAAGGGGGATTTGCCAAACAGGAAATTTGACACAGGGATAACGGACTGTTTTAAATACAGTGCCAGTTAAATCCGTGATCCACATCTAAAATCCTGCTCAGGCAAGTCTATTTTCTCCTCTGTTCTCCTACAAAAGCAATTAGAAGGTTTACCATGATGTTCAGTCCAAACAGATTGTGTTTTTTAAATATGTTGATTAATCAGCTAAGTGTGTAAGTGTGATTTGTTGCATGTGGGACCAAACATGCTTGGAAATATTGTAGAAAATATTTTTTCGCAGGACTGTGTCGTGTTATGTATCAATACTGCCCCATTTTAATGAGATGACAGTGCGGCAAGTTAGCCTAATCCTTGTTTATGAACATGCAAATGTGTTACCACCATACTATTGGCTCTTTATGTCATGCTAAATCTTGCACTGCGTTTTATGAATCTGGCCCAGAATGCTTTTCTGTAAGCTATAAAAATGAACAAAACTTCACTGGCCTGCTTGCAGTCTTTAACTTAAAGTCATTTTGTGCCCTAAACCAAGTCCATGTGACCTTAACGAAGAGCTACATGAGGTTTAACCAGTTTGAGAGAAGTTGTATTAATGTAAAAGATTTGTGTGACTATTGATTTCTATTGTTTGCTAGCACCATTAACCTTGTAGCTTCAGTGCTAAACTAAAGTAGCAAACTTTGGACACTAAACAAGTCTTGCTGATTGACAACATCTGGGGTAAGTGGAAAATTGTGAAAAACTCATAAAATTATTAAATTGGAGCACTAAAGTGGATTAAATTGCAATGCCAGATGTGTTTGACCATTGAAACTCATACTGAGTCTAGGCTTAAGTGTAAACTGGATCTGGGAAACTGGTGCAATACATTTGAGACAGACTGAATTGAAATCTCTGAACTTTGGTTTGGATTGGCCCACACACGCTGCCTCTTTCCTCTTTCCGCTTCTTAATTCATAAGAAATACTGAGGAGAAGGGTGGGGGTGGACTTCAATGGAAGTCAGAGTGAGGCAGCGAGAGTAACAGGTATGTGAACTGTAATCATGTAAGAGTGTATATTTAGTAGGATGTTAGCTACAAATGGAAACACTTAAGTTCTTCTCTCAAATTTTCAATAAATAACTAAATTTGGGGAGAGACTCCTACAGAGAATATCAACACATTGAGCTGAATAAATATACTATTACTCATGATTCAAGAACATCACATTCACAACCATCTGCTAATGTTTCCATTTGTCTTGATAATGATACTTAAGAGTGAGGGAAAGTTTCCAGAAAGCAAAACAAATTGTAAAAAGTTTTAATTCATTGATTCATTCATTAATTCATTCATTAATGATTTATAATTCATTAATTAATTAATTGATTAATTGATTCTAACATTCCAAACCAGATGGAGTTGAATCACTATCTTTGGATGCATTTTTGGACCCCTAACTCTCACCTGTGGGCGGCTCCATTGGGAATCGGTTCTCTTTGGCCCAGCCCAGGGGACGGAGACTGGTGTCCAGATAGAAGAGCCAGATGAAGTGGGCCGGGTCATCCAGGCCAATGTAGCTGAGGCATAACCGCCCACCAACATTCCGCTGGACTCTGGCTGCCCAGTACACACACGGCTCACAAGCATCACGAATTTCCAACACACACCCTGACACAATCAGATCTACTGTGTTCTTACCCCTCAAGGGCTATGACAGAGAGAGAAAGAATGAAAAAAACAGGTTACTGAGTGATGTGTACATTCTACATATTCTACTATTCTCTTCTATAGTGCTTATTTTGGTTTAAATGGGGGTGAAGTGCAATTGAACTACACTGAAATGTCACTTGTTTAACTGGGAAAGTAATTCTCTGGTAAATGGTAAGGAACCAGTAAACCTAATAGTAAGAATCAATGCTTCTTTTACAGCCCAGATTTATTTTTGTTTCTAGGTAACAGACAGGTAGATACTATAAGACTCTTTTGTCTTTGTTCTTAGACCACCTTTTATTTATTTAATTTCCAGTCAAAACAGCCCGGCCATTATGTACAAGTTACTTGTCTTTCAGGAGATATTTCTGAGGAAATTACAATATTCCACTTGCATAAGAGAAAGGGGGATGTCCAAGGAAACTAAGTAAAATAAGTGAATAAGTGCAAATGAAAAACAGGCCATGTTTACACTGTAAGAAGACAATGCAACACCATGAAAGAATGCGCAGCTGTCAAAAAGCTGTTATTGAGAAAAGGGAACAGACAAGAAAGAACAAAACTTATAAATCAAAAAAAGAAATCGCTGGTGGTCTCTAAACAATAACTGACCACCCCAGAGTCTAGCCCTCAACATCACTGAATATGTTTGGGATTGGGTTGAGAGAAGCAGAAAATGCAACCAACTTCTAAGGCTGAATGTGTGTAAAAATATCCCTACAGATTTGCTTGAGAAACTAAAAAGCAAGTCTCCCAAAAAAGAACAGAAGATGTAATAAAAAATAAACTGTGGACACTAAATACTCAGTGGAATTATCTTTATTTTCTGTATTTTCCTAGATATTATACTATGACCTTCATTAGCTCTAGAACCTGTTAAGCATTTTCATGTAATTAAGCCAGATTGTCTACATACTTAATTTTCTAATACTTACAGTATATACCTACTTACTTGTCTTACTTACTATTGTGTTAACACAAAATAATTATAGAGCCATTTTTGTTGTTTGTACCACACACTTGATGACTTAAGCCACTTAATGACTTTCAGCCACTTCAGTGCAATTTACAGTCTTGTTACAAAACATCCTAGTACTTTGAAGTTTGTATCTCACACCAATCTGGTTCTGGTTTAAAGACTGTAAAAGAAAGACTTATTATGTTTTTAATTTTATAAAAGCATTATTTATGTTTTCATCATCCTAGGGATGTTTTGTCCCCATAGAGAGCCAAAAACAACACACACACACACACACACACACACACACACACACACACACACACACACACACAAATACTCACTCCTTCGAGCAGGTTAGCTGGTGCTGTTCGTGATCCTGTGAGTTCTTTGATGAGAAACTCAGTCCAGTCACTGTATTTCTCTTTAATGGCTGTGAAACAAAGAGAAATAATTAAAGACTCAAACAAGAAAATACAGCTTCATACATCTTCATACATACAAGTGGTGCATTCTGGTTTATCATGCTAATAATTAGTGCACAAAACAGGCAGCAGTATGAGTGGGAATATGCACCTGTTCACAGAGCACTGCGCAAACGTCAAAGACCACCTTTCATTTCTTTAATTTTCCGCCTAAACAGCCAAGTACAAGATATTCATTTTTCAGGAGCTATTTCTGAGATCAGGTACAATATATGGCAAAATATGAGGACAGCTTGCCTAATTATTGAGTTCATGTGCTAACAGTTAAATCAAGCATATAGCCATGCAATCTCTATTGACAAACACTGGCAGTAGAATGGGTCGTGCCGAAGAGCCCAGTGATGTTATATATAGCACAGTCATAGAATGCAACCTTTGCCACAAGTCAGTTTGTGAAATTTCTGAAAAGAATGGAAGCTGTAATAAAGACAAAGTGGACACAGTAAGAGACACACACTAAACATTTGAGTCACATTTAGTTGTTGAGGCTTCTGTGTGATTCTCTGTGAAATCTTCTGCTTTGTTTCCTGCCACTTAAAAATAAATCATTTGTACTTAATGACGGTTCTGACTTTTGCACAGTGCTGTATGTGTATGCGTGTACGCATGCAGTGCGGGTGCTATTTTGCAAGCTGGCACACACAGACTAGTGCACACGCACCAACCCCTGCTGCTCTCATTTGCATACGGACACTCTTTTGTTTATAAATGCACTTCCTCTTGCATTTCTTCCTCCTCTGTGCCCTTTGGTGCAGGAGCCACTTATACATTCATGAGCGCAATACTCTGCAAATCAGCTCCCTCCAGTTCAACAAAGCACTTGCTAAGCTATGTATTTACATACTGCAGTGAAGTGGTTTATAATGACAAACTGCCTCTATAAAATGACAGTGGAATAACCAGCTAGCAGACTGGTATGTCCACCAAATCTGTCAACAGAGTTCTTAGAATATGCTGGCAGCTTCTCAGATTGTAACGCATACTGTATTCTGGATTAACAGTAACCCATGTGGACTGGAGTTACAGAGATGAACATTGGTGTATAGACTATAATCAACATCGCTGAGCCACAACTCTACTATCTCTGCACATACTCTGCTCTTTATATGCTAAAAAAAAGCGATTCACTGAATTTATTGGATTCAGATGAGTACATCATGAATAAACTGAATACAATGCACGATTTCCTCTTTCAATTTACTTATTTTGTGTTGATGTAATACATTTTATTTTACTTATTTTATGTGTGGAAATGATTTACACATTTGAACCAAGTAAATACAGTGTATTATTTTTTTTTTAAGTGCACTTTACTTTGACACTTTTGGGCACCCCTGGTCAGATTATATGCTTTGTTGATTTTCTACGTGAAAATAACATCCTCTATGTTTACATAATACACAATTATTGATTATTTGATGAATTTAACAATATACGCCTGTACATTTTACTTGTACCCTGCATCTTTATTTGTTTATTTGTTAATCGTTATGCTTTATTCCTTTTCAATATGTTAAACTTAGCAAATAAATAGAAATTGTGCACTAAAATGTTCCCTGTATAGGATGTAATGTAACGTGACCAGTGGTGTTCAATGGACCAATAGAAATCACTCAAAATTACTTGGAATTAAATCTCATTATAGTAATGCTGTTGCTTACAAGGTGAGCAACAGCGATGTTACGCTCTTCTGGTATAAATACAATAAATCTGAATTGAACTGTATTGAATTGAACTGAACTGAATGGTTGAAGTAGTGTCAGGCTCTTCTGGAAAGGCAGTGTTAGTGGCTAAGCTGCTGACACTTCGAGGAGCCAAACACACTGTCACTGTGGCTGTGACGTCAGCATCACAACACCAGTATCACATGACACCAATCATGAGGGTGTGATCTCTGCCCTGAGAGATCATTCTGGTAAACAAAGAGAGGAGAGAGAAAACAGGGAAACGGAGATAGGAGGAATGTTTGGATTTTTTTTTTTATTTGCTTTATCTTTCTATAACACAGTGACTGCCAAGCTAAAGTAGATAGCAAATTTGAAACAAGGTAGCCAACATTTTTCGCCAGCATCTCAATAATGACACTATTAAGAAATATTAGATAATATTAGATGAATAGAGCTGGAGGGCATCAAGAATAAAGTTATAATAACATTAATATCCTCAGTGTGTCATATTTCAAAAGTGGTGATCAAACCTCAAGGTAGGTAAGCTCACAATAAACTAGAAACGTGTTTCAAACTTAAGTTTGCTTGACAAAGGTGTTTCTACAAAATACCAGGTGGTTTCTATGTGTTGCTATGTTATCGCAAGTGACTGTTAAGATGTTGCATTACCATGGAATCCCAGGTGGTTGCTAAGGTTTTTCTAGGCTGTTGCTATAGCTTTTCGAATGGTTGCTAAGGTGTTGCAAGGCATTGCTACGGTATTCCAGGTGGTTGCTAATATATATAAATACACATGTGCTTGTATGTATGTGAGCCTGTATGAGGGTGTGAGAGATGTTTTTTGTGTCATTTGTGACAGTTAGATCTGAATTTTCTCACCAGTCTGCCATCCAATTTCTGTAGGAAAATAAACTGTGTTTGAATGAATGCTGTATGAAAACCTTACCTGCAATTTTTCGCGAAATCACAAGCACACTATTCCCTAATCACTATAGGTCCTCGATCCTGCAAGGTTTCATTGTTCTAACTCAAAAACTACAAAATACAAAAGTAAAGTGGCCTTGTCAAGCTAACTAAATTACATGAATAGATATCTAGGGTCTAATTTATTGCCTAGTCCATGATATTTCAATCAACAATGAAATATTAAAATAACTAAAGGAGATAGCAGCAGGCATTCATATTTCAAGTGGATGAATGCAGCAAGTTATTGGTTGAATAAAGAGAGAAAGGTGTTTCACACAAACACAAAAAAAGTGTGAATTTTTTTTTCTTCTCACTCTGCTGCACTCACTCTCCATCTCCTCTATCTCTGTTTGATCTCTAACAGTCAGAAATAGCTCAACTATTTTTACAGATGCAGTTTAGAAGGGTAATCAAGTCCTCAATAAGATCTACTGCTTCAAACCACTCCATACTCTCTCCGTTCACCAAACATTCCCCATCTCTCTCTCTCTCTCTCTCTCTCTCTCTCTTCTTTCTGTGCTTCTTTCTCTATATCTCTGGACTGCCAAACCCAAGTCATGATTTACAAATGATCTACAAACTCGCAAAGCAATACTTCAGGATTTTTTGGCATTTTTTAAATTTGTCACATCTGTAGCATAAAGTCTAACCAGCTGACTCAAAACACACTTACAACAGAAGCCAATGGGCGGGTGCCTCGACATCTGTGCACTGGCTTCTATTATAAGTGTGTAAGTGTGTTCTGATCTTTAACTAAGAAAAGGAAAAGGCAATAAAGTTATTGTGCATGGTAACTGATTGGATGCTACATAGAGACTTGGTGGAGAAATCAATGGAGCAGTTCTGTAGCCTCTTTTTGCTACAGGAATGGAAGTGACCTTGGATATTTTTAATAATATAACTGAATAAAATATTTTCATTTTCCCCTGTAACTCTGTTATCAGATTAACTAAGTTTACAAGCAGCCTAAAAACTTTAAGAATCCAACGAGTAGCTCAATCAGAATAGAATATGTCCATGTAAACACCTCAATCGAATAGATTAGTCCAGTTGAGGTCATTTGGAATGCAATTTCTATCCGATTGAAAGAGGTGGGTAATCCTATAAATAATCCGTTACATAGAATAATATGTCAGCCATGTTAATGTCTGTATCTGATTATACTCTCAATTGGAAAGTTTAAGTATGTTCTGTGCATTTGCGTTTGCATCATAGCTAAAGTTTATAATGTTCATCATGGCGGGAGCAGAAACTGGTCTGCAGAGGAGACAAAGTTTATGCTTTGCACTTTAAAGACGGCGGTGGGATGGGAGTCCAGCTTATGTGTCTCAGAACATGATGTCTTACTATCACCCTTCTTTAATAAGTACAGGTGAAATATGTTTTATTTTATTGAAAATACAAGCGCACCAGCTGAAAACTCAGGTAACACACTGCTGCTTGTCTCACTCAGACTGGACTCACGTGATGCTCTTTGTCATGGTAACAACTACACTAAATAGTGTTCTATGCATGCGCATAATTTTGGATTGGATTATGTGAGTGCATGTAAACAGAGGTTTTCATCAGATTGTTGAGTGAAGTGGGCATATAAACACCTCAGTCTTAATCTATAATTGGAATGTATTTAGTCGGATTGGCAAAATCCTTGCACATAAACACAGCCACTATTGTCTCTCTCTCTGTGCTGTTGAGCTGCTAGTGAGCAGAGGGGTAAAAGGGGAGGGGCGAGAACCCCCTGCTGCGAAAACAATTTACACCTCTCCACCAAGACGACCATGCCTAAATAAACCTAACAGCCCAACTAGCAGCTTTCTTTATCTCAAAGAATTGTGTATAACTGTCACAATAAAACATTAATTAAACACAAACAATAAAAGCATTTATATAAATGTTGACACACTTGCTCAGCAGTGAAGAATAAGGTCCAGTTCATTTCTGGTTTTGTAAATCACATACAAATATATTTCACCAACAGTATTAAAGAATGTATAGACATGCATGCTTCCTCCAAAACAGCTGTGGAAACTGCATTTTATAGGCACTGTGAAAAAGAGTTAACATCACTTATTACTGTTTCAGAATTAGAAAACATTGTGTTAACAGCACTTTGCCTCTTTCATTCTGACTGGCTTTTAGCCATTAAGCTCTGCCTACTATTGCCATGACTACTGCCATTACTGCCCCATTCGCTTTCTTCTATTTTTCCTCTAAGTTTACATGGAACCCATTATGGCATTTGTTTATTTTTATTTACAAAGCCCCAGGCTGTAGGGTCCTTGTTGGAAATGACGATAAATGCATAATTCAGAACG